CCAAAAAAAAAAAAAAAAAAAAATTAACCAGGTGTGGTGGTGCATGCCTGTAATCCCAACTACTTGGGAGGCTGAGGCAGGAGAATCACTTGAGCCTGGGAGGTGGAGGTTGCAGTGAGTAAAGACTGTGCCAATGCACTCCAGCCTGGGCATCAGAATGACACTGTCTGAAAATAAAATAAAATAAAATAAACTTAATTTTAAAACCTCCATTAAACATTATAAATGACCAAATGAAGAATTTTGAGTCTTCTACAAACCACATTTAAAAATATTATACCACTCAAATTCCTTACATCTAAAAATTTTTTCTATAAATGCCTCCTACAATGCAATGTCAGGAAAAAGCTATTTCTAGACTAATGAATACGTGTTCTTTCACCAGTCACTAAAAAGTCATTATCCTATCATATTTTCCTCTTTCTTTTAAATAGGTAACTTTTAAAAGAGCTAAATTTAGTGAACAACTGCCCATTCTTGGAAAATCTCCATCGATGTTTTAAAATCTTTAACTGACCTGTTTCATATACATTTAACGTAAGCTCTCGAAAATCCCTGTCTAAAGGAAATCAAAATTAAAAATTATAAGCTATTCTTTCTTTCTCTCTTCTTTCTTTCTTTTTCTTCTCTCTCTCTCTCTCTCTCTCTCTCTTTCTTTCTTTCTTTCTTTCTTTCTTTCTGTATGACGGAGTTTCACTCTGTTACCCAGGCTGGAGTGCAGTGGCGTGATCTAGGCTTACTGCAACCTCCACCTTCTGGGTTCATACAGCTATTCTCCTGCCTCAGCCTCCTGAGTAGCTAGGACTACAGGCATGAACCACTACGCCGGTTCATTTTTTTGTATTTTTAGTAGAGACTGTATTTCACCATGTTGGCCCAGCTGGTCTCGAACTCCTGACTTCAAATGATCCACGTGCCTCGGCCTCCCAAAATTCTGGGATTACAGGTGTTGAGCCACCAACTATTCTTATTCCCTTTTCTCTATGATGTTAGCTGTGGTTTGAAAGAAAAACAATCCTTTGTCAACCATTGAGAGACCAAAACAAAAAATGACTGCCCTACTCTGGAAAAAGCATCACTGATGAGCAATTAATGAGGTCACTTTTTTTTGAGATGGAGTCTCACTAAGTTGCCCAGGCAGGAGTGCACTTGTGTGATCTCAGCTAACTGCGACCTCAGCCTCCCAGGTTCACGAGATTCTCCTGCCTCAGCTTCCCAAGTAGCTGGGATTACCAGCACCCACGACCATGCCCGGTTAATTTTTACAGATTTTTAGTAGAGATAGGGTTTTGCCATGTTGGCCAGGCTGGTTTCGAACTCCTGACCTCAGGTGATCTGCCCACCTAAGCCTCCCAAAGGGCTGGGATTACAGGCATGAACCACCACGTCCAGCCAATGTGACCACATTTTTATAGTGACTCTAAAACTTTTAAAACTTGACTCTATGTGTGTACCTATGCAACAATCTTCCATGTTCTTCACATGTACCCCAAAACCTAAAATGCAGTAAAAAAAATTAAATTAAAAAATAAAACCTGACTCTACATTTATCTTTTTCTTTTTTTTTTTTAATTTTTTTTTTCTAGTGAAAGTTTTGAAAGCATACATTTATCTTTCAACTGTACTTCAAAGCATTTGGAAAATGAAATAGGCTGACAACAAATGCCCAGTGAAGTATGTAGAAAACAAAGCCTTTTCATCCATGCAATTATAATGCTGTAAGTTGTCATTTAGTAACAGACTACCCTAATGGGAAAATGTTAAAGTGAATACTCCTAAAAATTACTGTGATCTTGCTGGACGCAGTGGCTCACACCTGTAATCTCAGCACTTTGGGAGGCTAGGGCGGGTGGATCACTTGAGGTCAGGAGTTCAAGACCAGCCTGGCCAACAAGGTGAAACCCAGTTTCTACTAGAAATACAAAAATTAGCCGGGCATGGTGGTGCGTGCCTGTAATAACAGCTACTCGGGAGGCTGAGGTAAAAGAATCACCTGAACCCAAGAGGCAGAGGATGCAGTGGGCCAAGATCACACCACTGCACTCCAGTCTGCGCGACAGAGTGAGACTCAAAACAACAACAAAACTAGCTTTTAAAACTTGAAGTGAAATACTCACAACATAAAATTAACCATTTTAAAGTGAACAATTCGGTGGCATTTAGTATTCACAATGTTGTAAAATCACCACCTGTATCTACTGCCAAAATACTTTAATATCCCCAAAATAAAACCTTATACCCATTTAGCAGTTATTCCCTGTCTCCACCCTCCCACTTTCTGGCAACCATCAATTTGTTCTTTCTATCTATGGATTTGCTTATTCTACATACGTCATATAAATGGAATCGTACACTAAATATGTGACCTTTTGTATCTGTCTTTCACTTAGCACATTTGAAAGGTTCATCCATATTGTTGCATGTATCAGTACCTCATTCCTTATAGCTGAATAACATTCCAATTTATGTATACACCATATACCACAATGTGTTTATCCACTCTCTACTGATCAACATTTGGTTGTTTCTATCTTTTAGTTATTGTAAATAGTGCTGAACATTCCTCTACAAATGTCTGAGTACGAGCTTTTCAATCCCTTTAAGTACATACCTAAAAGTGCTGGGAAACTGCTGGGTCAAACATAATTCTATGTTTAAGTTTCTGAGGACCCACCAAACTTCCACAGCAGCTGAACCATTATGCATTCCCACCAGTAATGTATGAAGTAGCCAATTTTTCTACATCCTCAATAACACTTGTGATTTTTCCATCCTAGTGGTTGTGACATGTTAAAACTAAGGCCGGGTGTGGTGGCTCATGACTGCAATCCCAGAACTTTGAGGTCAAGGTGGCAGATCACAAAGTCAGGAGTTCGAGACCAGCCTGGCCAAAATGGTGAAACCCTGTCTCTGCTAAAAAAGTACAAAAATCAGCCGGGCGTGGTGGCAGGCACCGGTAGACCCAGCTACTTGGAAGGCTGAGGCAGGAGAATCGCTTGAACCTGGGAGGAGGAAGTTGCAGTCAGCCAAGACTGCATCACTGCACTCCAGCCTGGGCAACAGAGCAAGACTTCATCTTTTAAAAAAAAAAAGAATATTTATACTTTGGAAGGCTGACGTGAGCAGATTGCTTGAGTCTCGGAGTTTGAGACCAGCCTGACAACATGGAAAAACCCCATCTCTACAAAAACTACAAAACTTTAGCCAGGCATAGTGGCACATGCCTGTAGTCCCACCCACTCAGGAGGCTGAGGAAGGAGAATCACCTGAGCCTGGGGGAGGTCGAGGCTGCAAGGCTGTAGTCAGTGGTAACTGTGTCACTGCAGGCCAACCTGGGAAACAGAGTGAGACCCTGTCTTTAAAAAAGGCCAGGTGCAGTGGCTCACGCCTGCAATCTCAGCACTTTGGGAGGTTAAGGCAGGTGGCTCACCTCAGGTCAGGAGTTCGAGACCAGCCTGGCCAACATGGTGAAACCCTATCTCCATTAAAAATACAAAAAGTAGCCGGGTGTGGTGGTGGGCGCTTGTAATCCCAGGTACTCGGGAGGCTGAGGCAGGAGAATCACCCGAACCCAGGAAGCAGAGGTTGCAGTGAGCCAAGATCACCAAGATCGTGCCACTGGGTGACAAGAGTGAAGCTCCAACTCAAAAAAAAAGATTGTCTATAACAATTACTTAACTTTTGAAGGAAAGCAGAATGCCCATTTAGTAAGACTGGAAAATGTTACTCCTATTCTCTGTCCCTCCCTGATACACACATATGCAGAAAAAGTTCCAATAACTAGATTTCTTTTTTCCCATGGAAAGTAAGTTAAAATGTGCTAAATACCAAGAGAATGAGAAGTGCAAGCCATAGGATGGAAAAAAGTATTTGCAAAAGACTTATCTGATAAAGGATTTAACCAAAATACACAAAGGACATTTCAAATTCAACAATAAAAAACCCAATTAAAAAATGAGCGTAAGATGTGAACAGACACTTCACAAAGAAATATATACAAATGGGGCCAGGAGCAGTGGCTCACACTTGTAATCCCAGCACTTTGAAAGGCTGAGGCAGGAGGACTGCATGAGGTCAGGGGTCTGACATCAGTCTGGGCAACACAGCAAGACCTCATATCTATAAAAAATTTTTAAAAATTAGCCAGTGTGGTGGTGTGTACCTGTAGTACCAGCTACTCAGGAGGCTGGGGTGGGAGGATCACTTGAGCCCAGGAGTTCAGTTACAGTGAGGTATGATCACACCACAGCACTCTAGTCTGGGTGACAGAGTAAGACCCTGTCTCTAAAAAATAACTTTCAAAAGAACATATGCAAGCCAGGCATGGTGGTTCATGACTGTAATCCCAGCACTCTGGGAGGCTAAGGCGGGCAAAGGTCAGGGGTTCAAGACCAGCCTGACCAACATGGTGAAACCCCGTCTCTACTTAAAAACACAAAAATTAGCCAGGCATGGTGGTGCATGCCTGTAATCCCAGCTACTTGGGAGGCTGAGGCAGGAGAACTGCTTGAACCCAGGAAGCAGAGGTTGCAGTGAGCCGAGAGTGCGCCATTGCACTCCAGCCTGGGCAACAGAGCAAGACTCCGTCTCAAAAAAACAAAAAACAAAAA